AAAGCAGTTGATCGAAAGCGACAAGACTCAGGACAGATGTTTTTCAGCAGGTTAGTCGACGTCTGATTTCCGGGCCATTAGTCCACATTAAGCGCTTAAGTCTGCGTCTTCTGAGCAAAAATTAACGCAACTCGTGACAAAACGCCTGCATTACGAATATTATTTATTATGAATTTTTCCCCTTTTGGCAGTGGCCGGTATCCGTCTATCCAGCAAGCCACGTAAAAAGATGAACTAAGAAGAAGCAGCACTGCAGGAATAGCCACTGTTCACCGATAACTCTGAAGGAGACCAATAGGGGATACGGGGTACGGCCGCTGAGCTAAAAATCACCAAAAGGTCATTCGAAATAGAAAAAATTGGATTCTCTTGACAGCGAATCCAGAGCGTATCTGAAATCTCTTTCAGAATGGGCCACGCATTCTACTTCCATTCAGAGCCGTAGTGGCATTTGAATCCGGTGTGGCCTATAGAATAACTTGCGGGGGCAGCCGATGTTCAAGCCAGTGCGGTTTATACCGCCGTCCCCCCCCCTCCCCTACAAGTCGGCATTAGCCAGCTCACCTCGGCTTTATAAGGTTTGATCTTCCGAGCGAGAAAAGTCGATTATTTCGGCACTTTATGTGTGGCTGCTCCTGCTGCGTGAAGTGCCTAGCGGATGTGAAAGAAATAAAGGGAACTAATCGAGGTCAAAGTAGTTTTAGGCTTTCACAAGAGAGCACAGACGGCAAAAGAAAATCCAGTCCTAAGCTTTACAAGAGAGCGCAGATGGCCGAAGAAAATCAAAATAGCGAAACGGCGCAAATTGATTGTTGCAATTTTCATCGTACACGGATGTGCGGCGTATTCTTCTCACACAAACCCATTAATTAGAGCCTGGGTTTTTGAACTTCTTGATGACCTTGTTGCTGTTACGCCTGACATTTCTAGCTTTGACTTCCCGTCGTCTCTGCTTTGACTTACCGATCTCATTTATTATTCCAGGTATCTGAACCAAAATCCGAGCCATCAAAAACTTTATCCGAAGCTGAAAAATGTCGATCCTGCCACGGTGGACATGAGCTGTAGCGATGCGGGTTTCGAGGGCACTGCCGCCCTCTACTTGAAGGTACATTATCGCCTCGACATGACGGATTCCGCTCTGAATTCACCATAAACGCAGGGCAAGGGAGGGTTAGATATCCTGCTCATAAATAATGTATTGTCACCGCCAAGTAGTGCAGTCTTTAACTTACCGAATGCGTAGCCCTGGGACCTTACCTGAAATCACTTAAGTATTTGAGGTAATGGGATCGCTAGACAAATAAAAACTTGAGCTCCTACCCCTTCTTTGTCTATGAACAGACAGATTCGGAGCCATCATTTGTTGGCAGAGTATTACTGGCGCGGGCTCGCATCCGGCTCAGGACTTCAATAGAGCTAAGAAGAGGGGGGGGAACAAGTCACCATAAAGATGAAGTGTATTTAAGGTTTGTGACCCATAGTTTTTCCCGAGGGTCGGACGCACGGTTCCTGCCGGAGAAACTGTTTACGCCCTTATCACTAAGTTCATTTAACAGTATCAGGAAAGTTTTGTAATCTTCTACAAACTCTGCCAACTTTGCAGGTTTTCGATGAGGTGATATCAGCTATTGAGGAGAAGCCAGCCGATGTGCAAACGGCATGCGATCGGCTGAAGGCCGTCGGGAAAATGCATCGAACGAAGGTGAGCCTGATGGGTGCTATATCTTCATATATTTTATTCCTTATTTATTTTTATCCTTCAATTTGCAAATTGACTGAATGAAGATGTTTCGTTAGCTATTCTCGATTAGATGGACGAAAGTGGTTTAGCGGAAAAGGCGACACTTTCCACACCACGATCAAATATGGAATCTAGTTTCGCTCAGTCAAACCAACCCTTTTACTCCTCCGGGATAAAGTAATTGGTGCCAGACTTGTTTGGGAGGATATAGGCACTGACTTCTACATTGGCTGGCTCCCGCAAGTCTCTGCATGGGTCAAACTGCATTCAAAAGGCCATCTACTGATTAACGTCGAATTCTTTATGATTTTCTACCGACAATTATTTTCTGAGCGTCGCTAACCACTGTTTCTTTCGAATATTGCTGCAATACATAAAGACCTAAAGGCAGTGACCATGATGGCTGGGAGGTGGTGCATTTTCTACGAGACATTGTAAATGAGTGGTCGCTCAACGCGCTAGAGTGTGTGCATGCTTGCCGAACCGCTTCCTAGCTTTTCCTCCGTGTTCGGTGACGTCATCGAAGCCGCACCGCCCCTCTCCCAATCACCGTAATCACTGTCTCGAGGCAAAATGTTCAAGGTGATTTTTGTCCTCATGTGAAAAAATTCCCGTTTCAGGTGTCATCGATGCAAAGCACTACCTTTCAAGTGATGGAAGAACCATTTATGTACATGGTGCAAGAAGTCCTGCAGGATCGTTTTAACGACAAAGCCGAAGGACTGTTTCGGAAATTCTTTCAGTTCTGCCTCAAGTACCTTGTTGAAGGCTTCAACGGCTAGACGAATCACTTCCTTTTTGGGAAATTTCTGGTAAATTTCCTCGATATTCAGTTGGCATCGTTCATCCAATACGGGAATGGTCAACGCTATTTTAACGGTCCTGATAGCTGTTTTCAGTTTTCCATAATTTTCAACGCGATTCGATAGTGTCTCTGGTGATGGCTCATTATCTTCGCAGTAATTTTTATTAAGCTAAACCTTAGTTGAAGTGAAATTCTCGCTCCCTCTTGAGTACTTTTCTATGTTGTTAAAGGATGTGCCGGATGGAGCGAAGGCTAATTCCATGCGTTTCCTCAGTTTTTTGAGCCTTTGGAAGGCGCCCTCTTTGTGGACCTTAGCACGGGTATAAATAACCTTTGTTGGGCTTCTGAGCACTGAATGATAGAGATAGGATTCTTGTGTCGCGTGTGTTTCACGTGAGAAACTTTGTTCCTGGTGCAGAGACTGGAGATTGAAGTCGTGATACTCCGGTCTCCAGATGCGGCCATACTCGGCGAATAAGGGTGAATGTCGGCAGCCTTCACGAAAAACAGTGCTCGCGTAGAGGATAGAGGGATGGCAGAGATGTGAACACTCTCTGGAAACATCCTCACATCCTCTACTGGTGAGACTTTGAAAACCGCTCTTGTGACGCCTTTAGTTGGCTAGGAAAACATCGCCGTGACATACACTGCCAAATAAGCAAGGATGCGCGAGCATGTTTGTTGCCCGTTATGATGAACCAGCATCCTGGCATTTCGCCCAATAATTTCCTTATTCTATTTCTTCGTAGCGCAAATAGAATTTCAAATCGAATCCCGGAAAGGCTGAACAAATCAATAAATAATTGATCCCGGCCTCAATCAAAAAATTAGACCCTGGCCTGCAGGATCGATATTTAGGAAAAGGCTTCGAGCTATTCGGCACATCCTTATTTATCCTACTGTCTTGCACTCCTTTCAGTAGAAATTTTCAAGCGTGTTGGCATTTTCTTCAAAGTTTAAAGGACTTGAATAATTTATACGGGCTTCTACTATTTTTCCACACTTTTATTTTTTATTTTTTTACCCACAGCCATTCAACTTAGGAATTAGGGGCCATGTTGAGTTCTGTACTGGTCTTTTGATATCGTTGGCTCATTATAAAGTCAATCGTTGATAAAATGCTTCAAAACAGTCACTGGACCCAAGGCAGCTACACTCTAAATTTTCTTCTGCCCAATGGTCGTTTCTGAGTAATCCACGCCCAAAAGGGGAGGAGCTCCCCACACTCTGTTCTGATCCTTGAGCAAAGCTTTTTAAGCGACCAGTTTCTTCTTTTTTGATAGAAGTCCTTCCGGTTTTCCCTCTGTGCTATCTCCAATGCATTTTCGGATTCAATCAATATCTTTATTCAATATTTCTTCAGCCCACATACTGTAATGGTGGCTTGCCAAAAATAAGTGTGAAGCAGATGATGATAATTCTTCAATGTAGCATACGATGTTATGTATATGTACGTAAATGTGTACGTTTATTATTGATCTCATCAAAAATCGATTATCGATTTGTTGTCGTCGTCACACGCAATAGACTGCTTTGTATCAATTCATCCATGTGAATAATCTGGCGCATTCTGTACTCTTTCCGATGACTTTGTCCAAATCCGATTTTTCCGGAGCTAATCGATATTCTTATCGAACAGAAGCGTTTCCTTTCTCACTATCCGCTCCTTGATCAGTGCTGGATAACTTGATACATTGTTCTCTGAAATGCTCAACTATAATAAATTTTTCTCAGTCTTGTTTGGAGCCATTTGTGATTTTTTTGATTTACGATGATTTAATTGATTTAACAAAAAGATTTAACGATAAGAAATATATTTTAAAAATCGTGCGCCACCATGTGGCGCACGCCGATCTTCGAGATCGCCATGTGGCGAACTCAGTGATACGCCATCGCCGAAAAAAGCAGAGAAATCCGTCAAGAAAACGCAAAATGGGATCCCCTTGTTTGCTGTTGATTTTCGCTCATGGACGGTAACGGCTAAGACAGCGGACGTATGGACGAGTTTACCGCAACGCGTTTGGTGGCACCATGCCAATCCATGCTCCAGTCGAGTTGCTCCAGTTGTGCCGCTGCTGGCAGCACAGCTCGTTCAAATCACCAACTAACTGTGATGAGGCGCCTTCGCCCTCTAGAAACAACGATCGGTGCAACGTGTGTACGTGAAAATAATAATTTCCACGACCGAAGAGATAGAATTCAATTTTTTTCAAACATTTCTCTTCGTTTGCTTTTCGAACCACCGTTGAAAATGGTTCAATAGAACTGGGGGTTAAATTCAAAGTGTGTAAATTAATTGAAGAAACGCGGGATTTGAGCGACTTCTGTCTTTGAAATTCATATTGACGATCACATGAACCCAATAAAACTTCATCCGAAAAATTCTCCATTCCAGTTGATAAGGTGGTGTGGCGAGACAACGGTCAAAACTGCTTGCTCCGTTGATAACAGAGACTAAAGGACTTTTTGATCGTACCCCTCTCAATATCATACAAGTTTAAAAGGATTATAAAGGATAAAAGGATAAAGCATTTGCCGTTGATCAATCCCGTCTTGGGATGCGGCACGCATTCTACTTCCATTTGTACATTCGTAGTGGCGTTTGAATGCGATGTGGCCTATACAATGACTTGCGGGGGCCAGCCGATGTACAAGTCAGTGTTTTTATCCTCCCAGACAAGTCTGGTACCAATTAACCGACCCCGGAGGGATGGAAGGCTTGGTTGGCCCGGGCGACTCACGACCCAGGATTTGATCCCGGACCGCTCGCGTGGTGAGCGCGCCACTTGTCACTGCACCACTTCCGCCCTTTAAGAGTTATGAAAAATTATATCAAATTTTCGGTCCCACCACATCCGAGTTCAAGCAATTATAATGAAAACGTAGTGGTTGATTCACTTCATTTCATATTAAACATGATTTTCATCAGTCCATTGTAATTCATAGTTATTCTTTGTTCAAAGGAAGTTTTATTACTGTCGCAGTGACACACTAACGATTATCTCCACATAGCCAAAACTGAGGGTTTGCCTTGTTCAAATATTTATCGACCTGGACATTTAATTGAACCCGACATTTTAAATTAGGCATTCGTTTACATTGGCAACATTTTAGCTTAATTGCAGCGCCTTGAAACAAGCGCCTGAGCATGCGTTACAATGTTTGACCCATGTTCGAGTGAGCTCCCATGTCCTTTCGACAGTAGTGCTTCCACTTACTGGCCAGAGAGGTAAGGCGATCCTGCTGGATGTCCGATCAATAATGGACTGATTCAGCTGTCCATAAGCCACAAAAGCATGCTATCGCTGTTATGGTCATAGGAAACTAGTGCCAAGCGTGCATAGGATAATGAAAATATTGACCCGAATACACATAGACTGGGTCTCACCCACATCATCGAATTGCCATCTGCCCCGGAATCACGCAACAATTTTCAGGGGATATCAAATTCACGGCGTAGATGCTGCATGTTCATCGGCAAACAGGCTTCGATTAAGTCGTCAATCTCTTATATTTCACCAAAACTCAACTAAAAGAAGCATCCCTTAGATATGGGCTTCCCGGTGAATCTCAACGTGTGGGTTCGGGTTGTTTCATTCGGGGAATCGGTGCCAGTTAATGAGGACAACTGGATCATAAAACAGGCACTGGGCCAATTATGGCAGACGGTCTGAAACATCCGTGAGGACGGTGTTCGGCCTCGTCTGGACCGGATTTTCTGAACAATGAATGAACACGGCGTTTGACTTCTTGGACTTTGGCCTCAACCCTATAAGTATTGATTGTGAAAAAAAAACATATTTCAAGGAAAAAAGTTTGGGAACAGTGCCAACTTATTCAATGGTTTCCACAGCTGTCATTTTGAGTGCTGAGAGCCTCGAGCTATCACTGCTGTACACCTTATGTGCAAGTTCTACATAGTGCCCACAACTCGCATCCATATAGGGCAGAAAAGTATAAGGTTATTTACCGAATTTCTTTTCGCCATTCGCTGCTGATTTGGGCAGTCTTGGTTTACCCACAATCAATCGGGAATGACCACATTTCTATTTGAGTTTCATGATCCCGCGAATCTGTGGGGTTCCCGATGGATGGGCTCGGGTGAAGAAAAACCGGATCTAATGTCACATAAAATGTAAACACGGGTGCTTTTGTTGCTGGTTTTTGGTCATTCTCTTCGGCTTGTGTCTGAAATTACAATGACACATGGAGCCCTTTTTCCAGCTCCCAGACAGTTCCTTCACAATCTCTCTTAAGGTTTAAACGTTATGCTTGTTTATCCCTAGTAAGAGTGTATTACGTACTTCCCATGTCCTCGACATTATCATAGAAACAATGCGGAACCATTTGGAAGTTATTTTGACTGATTCTTCACGATATTGAAACGTGCCAGACAGATGTTTTCCCAATGACTGAATGTGGAACCACTACTTTCTTCCCGTTTCAAACTTTTCCGAGACGATGACGAGTGTGTCT